GTGTGGGGATGGCATAGGGATGGTGTGGGAGGGCGCGGGGGGCGCGGGGATGGCGTGGGGATGGTGTGGGGGCACAGGGGGTGTGGGGATGGCATAGGGATGGTGTGGGAGGGCGCGGGGGGCGCCGGGATGGCGTGGGGATGGCGTGGGGGCGCAGGGGGTGTGGGGATGGCGCGGGGATGGTGTGGGGGGCGGGGGCGCGCGGGGACGGCGTGGCCGCCTCCGACTGGCGGTCCTGTCATGCTGGTTAAGCACAGGCGCCACCAAGTCCATTCCTCAAGCCAGGTAACCAGGTGATGTACGTGGACATAAGGAGGCTTATCTTGAAATCGTGTCTCCAGTGGGTTAAGGATGAACCGGAGCTATTTTGGGTAATAGAAATGGCTGGCAGGCAACTGGAAAGAGCAGCGCCGAGAAGTCCCAGCCGGCATTTGCTTCCCGCTGAGCTCCGCATGTATTAAAACAGACTGATAAACACTGTAATTAACAATCCTGGAGTGATGGTACCTTCCTACAGCAAAAACACATGATGGATTTGAAATGCAGTTTGAACCTAATCATGTGGGTGAGGTTATTTCATAGTTGACTAATTTAGCAAACCGTTTTTTAAAAGTGCTAATTAAAAATTGCCTGAGGTTATCAATTTGCTGGCAGAACTACAGAAAAATGGGTATAGAAGAGTTTCTTTCAGTCCAGCTAATTATTGAATAAAGCATAAGACTTGATTACCGTGGCAGGGAATTTTTTAAATGGGGATCTTTTCGTGAGCACGTCTTGTTATTTAGGGTAGTAGTTATTGAAAGACTAGAACGACAACATAGTGTCTTATGTGGTTCATTTTGTTCATCAGTATGCCCAGCATCATTAGGGCGAATCCATTCTTACATACTGGACTGAGGAACCTCGGGGCCCCGGTTGACAGTCTCCTAAGTAGGAGCTGGCCTGGAAGCCCGCCACCCAGAGCACACAGTTCTCACGTCTATTTTCGTCATCAGCATCTGGAGGTTCAGTTAGAGCATTTAATGTGCTGGGAGGGTGGCTGGTGCAATTCTTCCTGAGGCTTTATCACTTCCCTTAGAGTATCCTAAAAATTAGTTATCGTCAGGAAGTCTTAATAAGAATTAGACTGTAAGCTCTAAGGGGACACACAGCATGTTGGTCTCATTCCATGTTCATCTCCCAGTGCTGGCCCATGGGAAATTCTCAGTAAGCACTGTTGAATGCAGGAATCCAGTATGTGCCAGGTGTTGTTCTAGGGCCTTGGGATGCATCAGTGAATAAAATATTCTAGCAGGAAGAAGAGAGATAACATAGTAAATAAATAGATTATGGGCATGCTAGAAGGTAAGATAATTAAAGCAAAGTAGCAGGGATTCAAAGTGCCAAGGATGGGGTGGGGTGGAATGGGGTACTGGGCATATTTCTTTATTAAATGGCATGTTCCAAGTAGGTCTGGTTGAGAAGGTGAGATTTGAGAAAGGATTTGAAAGTGGCAAGGGTGCTGGCCAAGTGGGCATCTGCAGAGGAGCATCCAGGCAGAGAGAAGAGCTAGAGCAAAGCCCTCCAGCAGCAGTGGGCCTGGGTGTGTTTGAGGAATAACGAGGAGGCCCATGAAGCTTGAACAGAGTGAGCAGGCAGAGAGTACAGAATGAAAAAGAGGTTATGGTTGGGGCGGGGAGATCATCTGGGGCATTTGGGTCCATTGTAAGGACTTTGGCTTTTCCTCTAAGCCACTGCAGAGCTTTGTGTAGAGAAACGGAATGATTGGATGCAACTACTATGCTGAGAATAGTCAGGGGAGGAGGACACAGGAGAGTAGGGACCCCCGGGGGGGGGGAGGGGCATTTGCAGTGATTTAGATGAGAGAGAGCAGTGGCTTGGGCCAAGACAGTAATGGCAGAGATGGTGAGAAGTGGTCAGATTCTAAATACATTTTGAAAGTAGGGCTACCAATTGTGAGAGAAAGAGGAGACAGACTCAGGGCTTTGGGCTTGAGTGCCTGGAAGGATGGGATTGTCATCAGCTGAGGTGGGGAAAGTCGTCGTTGGAGCAGGCTTGGGGGACACCACCACAGGGTTAGTGGTGGGAGTGCTAGGGGTGAAGAGTCTCGGATATCAGGGTAAGATGTCTAGTAGACAGTGGGATAGGTGACTCTCCTCGCAGACGTTGTCTGAAGCCATATACCAGGTGAAATCACGAAGAGGCTGAGCAGACAATATAAAAGAAAAGAGGGAGGTGTGCCTGGGTGCCACGGTGGGTTAAGAATCCGACTCTTGGTTTCAGCTCAGGTCATGATCTCAGGGTCAAGAGACTGAGCTCACGTTGGGTTCCGCGCTGGGCAAGGACCCTGCTTGGGATTCTCTCTCTCCCTCTGCCCCTCCACCTCCCCCCTTCCACCACCCACTGACACTCTCTCTCTCAAGAAAAAAAAAAAAAAGGAAAGAGGGAGGACTTAGGAGCAGTGTGTTAAAAGGCTGGGGAAAGCTTCTAGAAGGTACAGAGAACCAGCAACCAGTGAATTAGGAGTAAAACCAGGAGAGTGTGATTTCTGGAAGGGAAAGGAAGAATGTGATCATTGTATTAAATATTCCCACTAGGTCAAGTCAGATGAGGATTGAGCCTTCATCATTGGCTTTACCCATATGGATGCCAGTGGTGCCCATAAAGACTGTGGTTTGGGGGCATGGGTGGGGGGCAAGAAATCACCCCAATGTGGGTTTAAGAGAGAAATGGGAGGAGGGGAATTAGAAAAAGTGCCTTTATTTATTTAGACAGCTTGAAAGGAGTTTACTACAAAGGAAAATATAAAGAAATGAAGTGGTAGTAGATAGAGGAAGTGGGGTCAATAGAAGAATTTAAAATGGTATTTGCTGATGCCAGTGAGGATGGTCCAGGGCAGAGGAAAAATTGATGTCAGGGTGACTGGATTGAGGACATGTCGTCTAATTGCTGGACACCATGAAGGACCCACTAAAGAACAGGATATATGTATGTTTGTACATATTTAACTTAAAATGGGGCCAGTCATCATGGTTGTGTGTTTCTCTCTAGCTATTTCCAGGTGCAGGGGAGATAGAAATTTGGATTTCAGCAGGGTTTGGGCTTTGCAAGTGAGCACAAGGTAGGGTTGAGGGTGTTGTGATTGTAAGGATTGGGATGGAATTCAAGGAGGAGATGCTCTGTAATGTTTGTTGAATGAATACCTGACTGAATGAAAAGCTGAAATTTTGTTTATGGAAGAGGAAAAAAGTGTGTGTTTTAGAAAAATAGAATTAATGCTCTCCCTCGGTGTGTGAGAAACTACAGAATGAATCAGACAGTCGGGGTCTCTGCAATGGCATCCATCCTGTGCATGTAAGTCAGGTTCTGTCCTTCTGCGTGCTCCTGCTTATCAGTGCCTTGGAGAATCTGACTGCGTCTGCCTCTGTGGGTCCCTCTGGGCCTGTCTGCTTGGGCGAATGTCTTTGTAGTGTTAGAAAGTGGGTTTTATTAAAATGTGACAGTTTATTTTTTCTTACCTATAGTTTAAATTGAATACTCCAATTCTGTTTCAAAAAATAAAATGTGACTGAATATGATGCTTATTTTCTTTAAAAATGTAGAAAAAGGGCAGAAGTAGATGGAAGAAAAAGTTACCTACAATTAGTCAAAGCTAACCATGGTAAAAAGTTTAAATATATTCTCTTCCAGTATTGTCTGATATTTACATAATTGTGACCAACATGTTCATATGCACGGTGTCCTTTTTGCTCTTAACATCACCCCCTGTGACAGACTGCTCCCAGGCCGCTCTTACCGGGTCCATAAAGGGCCATCTTGTACCACGTGTGAACGGGTGGTGTCCGCGCTGGAAGCTGATGCTCGTTAGCATTCCAAGTGGGCGAGAAAAGGAAGCCGATTTCCGTCTCTCTTCTTTCCCCACTGTTCTACCCGAAGTGCAGGTCTCCTTGTGCCCACTTTCTTGTCTACCTTCCCGCACGTCTTTCCTCTCGTTCTTCCCCCTTTCTCCCAGCTCTCTCTGTCCCTCACCCGTCTCACGGTAATGGGAGCCAGTGAGGGCATCCCTGGACCCCAGTGTCGGCCTTGCAGGAGACACTCAGATCTGTGTTAAAGGACAGCAGTATGTCAATTTGAAGGTCCCACTCAACTGGATTTTCTGCTTTATTGGAAGTTAACTCGTTATTTTATTTTTTAAAAATATTTTTATTTATTTGACAGAGAGAGACACAGCGAGAGAGGGAACACAAGCAGGGGGAGTGGGAGAGGGAGAAGCAGGCTTCCCGCTGAGCAGGGAGCCCGATGCGGGGCTCGATCCCAGGACCCTGGGATCATGACCTGAGCCGAAGGCAGATGCTTAACGACTGAGCCACCCAGGCGCCCCGGAAGTTAACTCGTTATTCTAATGAAGTGGCACAGGGTTCATCTCATCTCCTGCCTGGGACTTTGGACCTCATGGAACCAGGCTGACTCATTTTCATCTCTGCCCTTCCATCTGCATTGTTAGAGAGGTCACTTTGCCAGCTAGAAATCTGCAGCCTAGGATGCTGCCGGGCAGATGCGGTAGCAGTAAATTTTCAATGAGGCCCTAAGAATACATCTGTAAAAAATATGAAGTTAAGATCGCTTCTGATGGTCTTCATAAGGAGCACAATCTAGGAAACAGATGTATCCTCTCCCTCAGACTTGATGTAGGTCTACACTGGATCTCCTGGGGAGTTAACATAGAATCTTGGAGCTTAATTTAGAGACCAGGGCCCCACGAGGGTTTGTTCAGCCTTGGACTGAGCCCCGGGGTGCTAGCCCTGGCATTCTGTGGTTGTCGGGTGGCAAAATTGTCAGGAGATTCTTTTTTATGTTAAGATGAATTGTGCCTCCCATAAAGTCTCCAAAAGGTCCTGGTGTGTGGAATGTTTCGAGAAGGCCAGAATAGGAATAAGTGGAAACTATAGTAACTTGGGGCTTCTGTTACTCTGAATTTGTAGCCAATCCATTCATCTTGTCCCCTTTGACTCTACTATTACTTCCTTGATTTTTGTGCTATGGAGCTTCAGCTTTTAAAAATTACACACGTACCCAGGGGAAAGGTTAACCTTAGAGCAACTTGTGGTAAGCTATTTTTCGTGAAGATGGGAGTGAGTAACGGTGGCGTCAGGGTGATTCACACCATTTCTGTATTCACATAAGACACACAATTACTAGCAACATCTCCTTTGGAGAAGAAATCAGGAAAATGAATTTTTCTTTTTGTTGGAAAACTTTCTTCCTAAAAAAAAAAAAAATCTATCCCACCTCCATTTAGCCTTAAAAAGAATATATTGGCTTCTTCGTGATTTAATCTGTGACTTGTTCCCCGTAAAATCGTTCTTCAGTGCCACTGGCATACAAATATTCAAACTGACTGTGTTGCTCAATTCCTTGCAGTGGAATTGAATAAAAACTTGGATTAAAAGGTCAACTTCAAAATATGCACAATAAATTCACCAACAAAAAGCTTCCCAACAACTTTCTGCACCGTTTCTCCTCATCTCATTACTCATGTAGGCTCCTTGAATTTTAAGGCCTGAAAATAAAAGAGCAGAATGTGTAGACCACTGGGGCCTAGGAAATTTTTTTTCATGAACAGGGAATGAAATGTAGAGTGAAAAGTATTTCTGAAATTAATGAAGTTGACACAGTAGAGAGAGAACTGGCAGACACTTAATATTTCCTATGGTACAAAAAAAGGTAAAACTTCTCTATTATTTTAAGAAATCCCTTACTCTATACCCTTCCTATATTTGGTCCCATAGCCATAGTATTGAAAGCCTTGCTATTTTTGAGATGATTATTTTTCTAATTTTATAACAGACGATGGTAAAATCATTGGGGTTATCCAGCAGGGGCTGGTGGGACAAAGTATAGGAATTTTTATGTGAGTAGAGTGTCTTACTGTTACATAGAAAGCTGGTCATGCGTTCTACAAATATTTGCTGAGTAAACTACATAAATAAGATCGGAAGGCTGGTTTTTTGGATAAGATCATTTTTTTTTCATAAGAATCCTTTTGTGGCATTTATACCTTTTAAAAAGTTAACAGTGCTATCTACTAATAGAGAACACTAAATCAGAATAACAAATAATGAGGTTTAGTATGGGTAATTCAGTTGGAGATAACATACCATTTATTTTTTAATGGTTTTAGACTCCTCAGGCTGTTTTCTTGTGCGAGCTAAAGGTAGGTCATCTTTGGAACAAGTAGATGTAAACACAAATAGAGAAAATATTGGAATCGAACGTCATGGTCTCCAACTATTTCAAAATAACCTGTGTTCTTGTCTGCAGTCCACTTTGACTTGGGACAGCCATGGTCGTTCCTTGAACCCCCCAAAGCTGAAAACAGCTCCAGCCACAAGATTTCTAACTCTGAAAAATTTCTTTGTTAATCTCATATTCTTTCCTTTTTTCCCCCGGCAATTTAGGCCACTCACACATGCTCTTTACATTTATTTTGACCTTGATTCTTTTAGTCCATACTGATTTCCCAAACCTCTGTTGTCCGTTGCCTCATGGCTTTCATTTTCCTTCCGTCTCTTTCAAGCGACTTAAAATTCCTTGGCCTTTTGAGTTTGTTACTAGCTGGGCTTTGCTTTGGATGATGTCTTTAAGCCCGGCCTTGGTGCTTTGAACCTTATTTATTTTTTCAGATATGTGAGTGATTGAGTATCTATTAAACCCTGTCTGTCCAATCTAGAATTGGGGATTTTATCTTTAGGGTTGAGGAACCTATTCAGTGAAACTTTAGCATACCTACTTAAATCTTGGGGGATCAGGGAAGGAAAAGAACAGCAGCTTTCAGGGACTAGGGAAGCCATGCACTGTTCCTGGGTCCCGGGTACAGGTGGGGAGGCTCGTTCCTGCACCAGTGGGACCACACACTGATTTCCTGCACACCTGCTGCAGACGAGGCCCGACATGAAGACTGAGAATGGAGCAGATACCGTGAAACCCCAAATCCATGCTCCCAAGGGGTTTATAGTCTAGCAGAGGATTCACCATGTTAAGCAACTAAGCACAGAATTAATTATGCCTCTCAGATGGGACTCTAGTTCAGTTCTGCAGAATTTTATATCCCTAATTTCCCATGTTTATTGTTCAAAATATAACTGGCTTTTAAATATTCACTAGTCTTTAGGATTTGATGGTATTTTTGAAAGAAATATTTAAGGTATGGTTTGTAATCTTTTATCAATGCCTTTTACTGTTAGTTAAAAACCTTTTTTACAACCTTTAGGCTAACACACTATTGTGTGTCTTAGATTTCTTGGTTCTCAGGGATCTATAGGTCTATTAGGAGAAATTTCTTATTTCTTAACTGAGTCATCTCAGGGTCCTGTTGATGTTTTTTCAAGTCATTTGCAGGGATGGCATTAATCTTTCTTTTTATTTTGCTGCATACAAAGTCCTTGCTTTCAGGGGTAGAATTAAGTACAGTGAACAAGTCCTTCATAACCTGTGAAGAAAATGATGTTGCCAGGACCTCTTTCTGGGGTTGTAAGCCTTGACATTTTGTGTATAGTGGGAAGATCACACATTAGCTCTGAGCCTCCGGGGTGCTGAGCCAAGGGAGAATAATTGATCATGCCTGCCAGGAGAACTGTTCTGAGCTGAGGCTCAGACGGGGGCTCATCAAGAGAGAAAACTGTGATGGATAAGTGAAATCTGCTGTGGGCAAGGAGGGCCTTGTACTATAAGTACCAGGAATTTTCCATTCCCGATATATTGACCCCTGGGAATGGCTTGACCTTGTGGCTTTTTTCATCTCCCTCCAGTTAGAAGGATCATTTATTTTATTCTGAACGGAATGCTTTGGACACAACTTAAATAATCTAGCTCTCCTCCCCATTCCTAATGAAGTTAAACTGATGTTCTTATTCCCAAATAGGATCACATTCAGCCTGCTGTCATTGGCAGGTTATTCCTCTTAGCACACATATAAGAATGAATGTCATTATGAAATGGGGAAGATAAAGTGGTAAGTTAGACTCATGTTGTCTTAGGAGAGAATGCAGAACTCTTGCATTTACATACACATTTTTTAGAATTTCCTTTATGCATTTCACTCTACCCCTTGGTGTGTTTTTTCTATCTAGAAGAGATTTCTGGGTGTTTTTCGTTTCAATTTAGAATAAAATTATTAAAGCATACTGTGTGTGCACACACTCTTGTGTGCATGTTTGTGTGTGTCTAGGTCGTGTGACGGAATGTGTTTCTAGTGGGGTTTGAAAGTCACCATTCAGACCACACCCTTTTTATAATCATAGAACCTTCGGGAGTAGAAGAGTTTCCTCCTGCTTACTGACTTGGCCTATATCATCAGTCTCAATCACGTCCAATCCATGAGCAGCTTTGATTGTTCAAATAAAACTCTGGAAGGCATGAATTTGAGCAGGGGTAGTAAGCAAGGTCTGTTTAAAATGCATTCCGCAGGTGTGGAAGCAAACACAAATGTCTGAGCACTTACCTTCGTGAATGCGCAGGCTGTCCTGGCCACCTCCCCCTCACTCTCAGCATCCCCTCTGACTACTGGGTTGGCCCTAGTTCCCGTCCCAAGGGAACCTTGCTCTGTCTGCTTAACAAAACTTCAGGAACAGACATTTAGTGCCCTGGCCGTCCTCATCTGGGAGAGCGGCCCCACTCTGAATTCCTTGGACCACAAACGGCTTACTACATCTCAGTCTCGTGACTCCCACCAGCGTTCCAAGAGCTGTGGCCATTGTCATCTCCCAGCCGCCTGTGGAGAAGAGCCATCAGGGTGTGCTTTCACTCCTCAGTGACTTAGGTAACCAGATGCTATCCTGGGGTCGCCATCACGAGATTTATAAAAGCCACACGTCCGACCCACGTAAAGAAGAAAAGACTGAAGTCAAAGGGGATGAGAAGCACAAGTCACTTGGCCAGCAGGGCCCAGCTTCCAGTGTCCCTTGCGGCTACGAGCTGGAGGTCAGGATCCAAACCGGAGGGTGGGAAGAGGGGGCTGCCTGGGCACCTGAGATCTCACCGTCCGCATACTCCTGCTGTAGTAAAAACATAACAGATACGTGTTTAGATGATGTGGCGAGGAAGCACATAGAGGAATAGCACTTAGGCAGCTTTAAGGCCTGGAACGGGGTCATAGCCTGGCAGGAAGTGGGAGAGGTGCCCTCCCTGGAAGGGAGCACCCTCCCCGAGCCTCCGGTGGCTCCAGCGTGATACGCAGACGCTGAGTGTGGGCTGTCTCCGTGCTTTCCCCCTTCTGCTTACTACATTTCAGAAACTATATTCTCTTGGCTAAGCATCCCTTAGTAACACTGGTTAAGATTTTCAGGAAAAACAGGACATGCATTTTTTGGTAGTAAAATTTTAAAACAATAGTCATTTCTTTTATGTGTTGAGCGTATGTTTCTGGTAATGAGTATGTAATGGCTGAACCTCAACTTCTAAGTGAAATAAAAAGTGCAAGTGTCAAGAACGCTACGCACTTTACCCGCCACCACTCTGCTCCCTTCTAGTTTGTGCAGATGTTGTTCAGGGCAGTGGTTCGGAGGTCTTAGGTACTAAGTTTTTCCACTGGGGGTTCTGAGTTAAAGGACCTCGACTGACCTTTCCCCTGGCTTCTTTGCCCTTGTGTCTGCTGTGAATGGGAAGGTCAGCAGTACAGGGACAGAAGCTCTGGGATGTGCGTTTGGCGGAGAACGTGCCGCAGGGTCTAGAGGGGGGCCTTCCACACAGCACAGCACGGAGTGCAGGGTCTGGGCCGCTCACCTGTGCTCTGACCCTTCTGCTTTTTCTTAATTCCCCAAGGTTCTTCCTCCACCTTCGCTAGTATGGCAGTCCCTTCTATTCTTTTTTCTCCAGCTTATAAATATCTTTGAAAGCAATCCTGTCTTTCCTAAGGCCTGCAAGATAAGCAGGTGCTCCATATAATCCCTCTTTTCTAGATGGGCAGCGAGTCCAGAGAAAGAGCGTAAGCACTGGCACATGGGATCTCGTGCAGACCTTCCGTGCAGCTTAGAGCAAGTATTAATACTGGCTGCTTGCTGAAATCAGAGGAGTGAAGTGCTGTTGTTATTAAACATCCTTTGGGCAATTTTTTTCTTTTTGTACAGAAACATTGATTATGAGAGATCGGTGACAATGAAATACAGTTGAGAAAACGGGCTGTTTTCTTAAAAACGGACCACAAACATGCACACTGGTCACTAAGTATTTTTATTTGACATCGGATTCCAACCTCCTATATTTGCGTAATAATCACAACTGACCTCTCGTGGTGAACCTTCACAACTGCATGCAGCTCAACTGATTCCCCTTTCACGCTCCACTTAAAATCCAACTCTTGCTTTATTGTAACACCAGGAAGGAAAGAGCTGCTGCTGGTCCTTGAGAGCAAAATGGGGATGTGCGTTCATAAAACCTAGTGGGTGGGTTCTCCTCACGTCATGGTTTGTATGACACCATTTCATTTGGTAAATAGGATAGAAAAGGGTACGAAGAGAGATGAGGGTCTCATAAAAGAAACAAGAGTGCATTTCAGTGCCCCATGTGGTTTGAACCGCTGAGCTGGTAATGCTGTGCATTCTCTGCTGGGTAAGTGCCAGGTGTCAGGGTCTAGAACCTGGGCAGGGGGGGAGCGGGAGGAAGCTGCGGCATCACCCCGCCAGCCCCTCCCAGGTTCTGGCTCAGGACAAGGTTCCGGGAACTTGGGTGAATGTCTGGACCAGGACAGGAGCTCAGGCTTTCAGACCCAGATTCTTACTACTAGGTGTCAAACTCATTTCCTGGTCCTCTGCATTAATTTTGGGGCCTGTGAACCAATGCTTTTTCAGACTGAGTAATGTCAGAAACAATTCAGTTTTCGTGCATGAGTTTCCTATGCACAACATCTTCAGCCTTGGTTGTAATTCCAATGAGGGCAGTTCTCATCTGTCACTCCACTGGAGCCTAGTGCACTCAGCTCAGAGCCAAGCTTGGGGTGAAAGCGTCAGTAGGGCTTTATGAACTGTCATTCACCTTTCATGCCGTTTCTCTCTTCACCTATGGCTGCCTGTTTTCAAATTTAATAATTAGGTCAATGATTCTTGATTTATTTTTAAAGGATAATACCAAAGACAGGTAAGGCCAGGGCAAAACGGTGCTATTCTGACATCCCACTCTGAAAGGAAATTTTTTCCCGTATTATACAATGAGGACTCTAGCATTAACACTCAGACGTAGCCTTCGGTGTAAGGATTTAAGGATGGGCAGGAGGCGGCTGATGTGTTAAACACCAAGGACCCTCAACCGAGAACTTTCTCAGCTTCAAAATCAAAAACAATTCTCTAGGATAAATGGAATGATAATAATCGGTACTGAATTTTATAGGGGAATAATCCACAAGTTTTCCAAGTGAATGTAATAGAGCTTATTTACTTTCTTCACAAATAATCATTTTTTTCCCTCACTGTAAAATTGGGATCTGTCATTTGTGTTACCTGGATTATCTAAACATTAACATCTTTAAAACTACTGGGCTTCCCACGGAGAGGTGTAAATTTCTGTAAATCAAAGTTCTTGTTGAGCAATAAGTCGGCGGCAGATGAGGTAAATCAGAGGCCTGGCTGTGGATGCCAGGTGCTGGGTCAGTTTTTGATGGCCATGGTCCAGAGGAGTGGATGGTCCGTTTCCACGGTCACGACACCAGATCCATCATAGGTATTGGAAGTACTGACCAGTGTCCCAAAACCAAGCATGTTGTTTGCTATAAGAAAACAATAAAACAATGTTTAGTGAGAGCCAACCTTTCTCCAGTGTGGTGGAACTTTGTCAGCAGTTACCAAAAAGCAGTGAAGCCTATGCTTTGATATAAGCCATATACAATGTAGGACAGGCGAAACACAGCATGTGGGATTTTGAAATTGAAAGTTTCCATAACTTTCCAGGAGTTGGTTATTGGCTGTTAACCATTCTGGAATATATGCCACTCTCGGACAAAATTCCATTAAATTTTTAATTTTTTTTTCATTACCGATTGTAAAATCAAAACCCATTTTGTAATGTGCTACTTACTTCATTGCCTGGGTGCAATTATAATTTTTCTTGATGATTGAGAATTAACATTTTACATAAGTTATTAAACTCTATAAAGATGCAGTTTTAGCTTCAAGTCTGAATGATATGGGGCGGAAAGCTAATTACTCCAAAAAACCACGGGATTTCGGTTATATTTTTCTCATAAATTAAGAAAAGCCAAAATGAGCAAGGCTTGCTTTCTGTAAAATTAATAGAAACTTAAAGGTCGAAGCCAACTGTGAAATCTTGAGGAAGCCATAAGCTCAGCTGTAAAATGAGGCCAAGAGGTAAGAGAGAATCTTCTAACTATTTAATTAAATCAAAGTGAAGGCTTAGGAGTTAAGTGATATATATGTAATTGGTAAGTAAATTCTATGTATGTATGTATATATTCTAACAGGTTAGCTGGAGTTAATGCTTAGGCATTAAGGCATTAAGTTGAGGTAACCTCACTTTCTTTGCTTAGGTTAAGAGCAGTTCATCAACATGCCCCAAACTCATGACTGTCCTATACACATTCCATGATAACCAATATTATTCTTTTGGCTAAAATTCAAAGAGAAAAATAAATGGAGCCCCTTTCCTTTAAACAAAATGTAACTGAAGTTACAGTGCTTTGGGGAAATAACCGAATTATAATGCTCACTTCCCACTAGAGGGAGCTTGTTATCTTCCTGAGAAAATTTTGAAAAAGGCAATTTAAAAATCCAGAGATAGTATTACCAGTTAACACACTTTACTTATTAAAACTCAAATTACTTATTTTTCAGAGTTGTCAGCGTCTTTACTAATGCAAACACAAAGTTACAAGGTAAAACCATACAAGAATACGGACTGTGCCTCAGGTAATATTACCCTAATATATAATTCAGTGTAAGAAGCTCTCGCCTCTTCAATAATTTGGAAATTTTTTGAGATGAAGTTTCTAAATGATACTAATATTATTTATTTATTCATGAGAGACAGAGAGAGAGAGGCAGAGGGAGAAGCAGGCTCCCAAGGAGCAGGGAGCCCGATGCGGGACTCGATCCCAGGACCCTGGGATCACGACCTGAGCCGAAGGCAGACGCTTAACCATCTGAGCCACCCAGGCGCCCCCAAAATCATGAATTTTAATTGACTATGTCACTACAATTATTTTGGACTATATTCCTTCAAGTCAAAGAATCATGCTTTTGGAGCAAACCCTAAAGTCTTCCCTATAAGAAAAAAAAAAGTTGTTTTTTTTTTTTTTTTGTTTTGTTTTTTAGGAAAATAGTTGGAATTATGATTTGAACTCTCCTTACCCCAAATGTTGGAGGGTCAGTTGTGAAGTAAAATAACAAGACTGGCAGACAGACAACTTCCCACAGATGGGAAAACAGATTATTTTCTTCCAGTTCTATTGATATATATTGATGCATACCTATATACTAGGAAATGATCATCACAATAAATTTAGTTAACATGTATTACAAAATTTTTTCCCTTGTGATAAGAACTTTTAGAATCTACTCTTACCAACTTTCAAATATTCCACACGGCATTGTTAACTACATTTATCATGTTGTACATTATATGCCCAGTACTTCTAGATCTAAGAACTAGAAGTTTGTGTTCACCTTCTCCTAATTCCTCCCCACCCCTGTGCCCCTGGCAACAAAGTATCTGAGGTCGGTATTTTTAGATTCCACATATAAGTGAGATCATACAGTATTTGTCTTTCTCTGTCTGACTCACTTCATTTAACATAATGCCCTAAAAGTCTATTCATGTTGTTGCAAATGGCAGATTTTCCCCTTTTTATGGCAGAATAATATTTGTGTGTGTGTGTGCCACAACTTCTTTACCCATTCATCCCTGATGGACACATTTCTTGGCTCTTGTGAATAATGCTGCTAGAGACATGGTGTGCAGATATCTCAACATAGTGTTTTCATTTCCTTCAGATATGTTCCCAAAAGTGGAATTGCTGGATCATAGGGTAGTTCTAGTTTTAATTTTTTGAGGAACCTCCATAATGTTTTCCAAACTGTCTGTACCAGTTTACTTTTCATCAACAGCATTCACGGGTTCTCTTTTCTCTAAGACCATGCCAGCATTTGTTATCTTTTTTTGATGATAGCGTAAGGTGATAGAGCTCTTTGTGGTTTTGAGTTGCATTTCTGTAATGATGAGTGATGTGAGTGCCTTTTCATGCACCTGTTGGTCATTTGAATATCTTCTTTGGAAAAATGCCTATTCAGGTACTTTGAATGGATTATTTGCTTTTTTTTCTTTTTGCTCCTGAATTTTAGGAATTCTTTATATATTTTAGATATTAACTCCTTATCAGATATACAGCTTGCCAATATTTTTTTCTCCTTTTCATACATAGGTTGTCTTTTCATTTTGTTGATTGCTTCTTTTGTTGTGTGGAAGGTTTTAGTTTGATGTAGTCCTACTTGTTTATTTTTTAATTTGTTGCTTGTGCTGTAGGTGTCTTAACAAAACATCATTGCCAAAACCTGGGTCAAGACAATTTTTCCCCTAGGTTTTTTTCTAGAGTTTCATGGCTTCAGGTTTCATGTTTAAGTCTTTATTCCATTTGAGTTAATTTTTGTGAATGGTTTAAGATAGGAGTGAATATCCAATTTTCTCAGTACCGCCTATTGAAGAGATAGTCTTTTCTCAGTTGAGTATTCTTGGATCCCTTGGCAAATATTAGTTGATTGTATAGCTGGGGGGTTAATTGTACAGTTCTGGGTTATGTTCCATTGGTTCATGTGTATATTTTTTTATGCCAGTAACATACTGTTTTGATTAGTACAGCATTATTATATAGTTTGAAATCAGGAACTGTGATGCCTCCAGATTTGTTCTTTCTCAGCATTACTTTAGCTATTCAGGGTCTTTTGTGGTTCCATACAAATTTTAGGATTTTTTTTTTTTTACTTTTGTAAAAAAAATGACATTGGAATCTTGATAGGGATTGTATTAAATCTATAGATGGTGTTGGATAGTATGGCCATTTTAATGATATTAATTCTTCCAATCCATGAACATGGAATATCTTCCCATTTTTGTCTTATTCAATTTCTTTCATTAATGTCTTGTAGTTTTCAGCATAGAGATCTTTGACCTCTTTGGGTAAATTTATTCCTAAGTATTTTATTGTTTTTGATGCTATTATAAATGGGATCATTTCCGTCTTTTTCAGATAACTCATTGTTAGTATATAGAAACACTACTGATTTTTGTATGTTAATTTTGAGACCTGTACCTTTGCTGAATTGTTGATCTGTTTTTGGTGTGGCTGTTAGGATTTTCTGTATATAAAATCATATCATCTGCAAATTTACAATTTATTTCTTCTTTTCCAATTCTGATGCCTTTTATTTTGCCTAACTACTCTGGCTGCGACTTCTAGTACTGTGTTGAATAGGAGTGGTGAGAGTTGGCACCCTTGTCTTCTTCCTTATCTTACAGGGAAGACTTTCAAACTTTCATCATTGTTAGCTGTAGGCTTGTCTATATGGCCTTTATTAGATGGAGGCACATTCTTTCTATACATTTGTTAAGAGTTTTTATCATGAATGGATGTTGAATTTTGTCAAATGCATTTTCTGCATCTACCGAGATGACCATATGATTATTTTTTTCTATTAATGTGATGTATCACATTTATTTGTGTATGTTGAACCATCCTTGCATCCCAGAGATAAATACCACTTGATTATGGTGAATAATCCTTCTAATATGCTGTTGAGTTCAATTTGCTAGTAATTTCGTTGAAAATTTTTGCATCTGTATGTATCAGGAATATTGGCGTGTAGTTTTCTTGTAGTGTCCTTATTTGGCTTTGGTATCAGAGTAATGCTGGCCTCATAAAAGGAATTGGGAGTGTTTCTACCGTCTCAGTTTTTTGGAAGAGTTTGAAAAGGATTGGCACTAATTCTTCTTTAAATGTTTGGTAAAATGCACCAGGGAAGCCATCTGGTCCTGGGCTTTTCTTCATTGGGAGATTTTTCATTACGGGTTCAAGCTCCTTACTAGTAATTCATCTGTTCAGATTTTCTATTTCTTCCTAACTCAGTCTTGGTAGGGTGTATGTTTCTGAGAATTTTTCCATTTCTTTGCAGTTATCTAGTTTGTTGGTGTAGTCTTCATAGTAGTTTCATAAAATCTTTTGTATTTTGGTGGTTTAGTTGTAATCTTTTTCATTTATAAGTTTTTTTGATTTGAGTCCTCTCTTTTATGTTGGTTAGATTTTAAAAATTGTTTTCCTTTTCTGTATTTCATTTTCTAATCTTTGTTTCCAATCTTTTCTTTCCTCTGCAGACTTAGAGTTTAGTTTGTTCTTCCTTTCCAAGTTCCATAGATACAAAGTTAGGTTGTTTATTTGAAATCTTTCTATTTTCTTTTTTTTAAAGATTTATTCATTTGAGAGAGAGAGCACAAGCAGAAGGAGAGGGAGAAGCAGACTCCCTGCTGAGCTGGGAGCCCAATGTGGGGCTCAATCCCAGGACCCTGAGATCATGACCTGAGCCGAAGGCAGACGCTTAACCATCTGAGCCACCCAGGCACCCCCAAATCTTTCTATTTTCTTGATGTATGCATTATAGCTATGAACTTCCCTTTTAGAACTGCTTTTGTTGTTTCCTAAAAGTTTTGGTATATCGTATTTCAAGATACTTTTTCTTTTTAAATTCTTCTTCGACCCACTGGCTG